CAACCTCATCTTGTTTCAATGGTCCAATTATGTATGATACATACTCCAAACCAGTTTACGAAAAAGAAGCAACCACCTAACGCGCGAATACTTGGCCAGCAATTTGTTGCTGCTTATGTCACATTCTTCATTCGAATCATTCACATTTTTTTCTTCATTACTTTCTTGCATTATCGCGATTCTATTCGCCCTCCATTTTCTAAATGCCAGGCCATTTTATTTATTTAAACGTTTTTTTACTCACTAAAAAGCTTTATTCATTTAGTCGATTGTTTGTTTGTCTGCTTGCTTGTTTATTCTTTCAATCATTTAATTATTTATTCATTTATTTGTTCATTCATTTGTTCATTCATTTGTTCATTCATTTGTTCATTCATTCATTCATTCATTCATTCGTTCGTTCGTTCGTTCGTTCATTCGTTTATTCGTTCATTACTCGTTCATTCATTCATTCATTCATTCATTCATTCATTCATTCATTCATTCATTCATTCATTCATTCATTCATTCATTCATTCATTCATTCATTCATTCATTCATTCATTCATTCATTCATTCATTCATTCATTCATTCATTCATTCATTCAGTCATTCAGTCATTCAGTCATTCATTCATTCAGTCAGTCTCAGTCATTCAGTCATACATTTCATACCATGCTTATTGCAGCCAGCGATCCACCATGAGCTAATTAAATGCATTGTATACCAACCAACCAACCGAATAGAAATGTTTTATCAGATGAGTAGATGAACACAAAGCTACAACAAACAAACAAAAAAATAGACAGACAAAAAGACAGACAAACAAACAAACAAAAAAACAAGCAAGTATGAAAACCCCATTAGGGAGCCAACACACAATTCTTCACATTCACCGTTCTTAATCAATTAGTAGCTCAGTAGTAATTACAGCAACAACAGCCCGTATAGAAACAGCTAATCATTTGGCTTCTTTAGTTTACTATGATTAACTCATTATAATTAATTCATTTGATTTTCGTTGGAATTCAAGCATACAATTAAACGAACACACACGTAACTAACAATTGGAACAAATTTATAAACCAACCATCGAATATTTAACCAATGAACCTGCAGACCGACCGACCAATCAACCAACCAACCAAGCTAACCGACCAACCAACCAACCAACCAACCATATAAGCCATCTAACCAACAAGCCTTCCAACCGTCCAAATAACCATTCAACCAGTTTTATAACCCAACCAAACAAACAACCAATTAACCAGCAGAAATAATCAGCGAAACAAATTAACAACTATTCAACAACAACAACCAATCAAAATCATAAGATAAAACCATGGCAAAAGCAAAACCAACCAATTATTTTCAACAGTGCATATTTTGGGGCGTTTTCATCTTTTTGGCCTTGAAATAATCTGAAAAAAATTATTTAATTGAATCATGTGCTTTTAATTTCAGTGTCATTATCATTAACTAGAAATATTGTTATCAATTCAAATAATTATTGATAATAAAAAATGTGTATATGTTAAATTGTATAAATCAAGCAATCAATCCAACAACAACCACCATTATAATATCCCGATCTACATGCACAATCCCTTTGGTGTAAATATAAATGTTAATAAAATTAACAGAACAAGCAAACAAACAGTAGACCGACATTTTAAAGATAGAAACCAGCAACAATTACATTAATCACATCAAAATTGACAACAGTAATAATATCAACAACGATAAAAAAGACAACAACAACAATAACAACAACAACTGCAAAAACATGGTTTGGCGAATCATCATGACACGTGATTGATGAGTACAAAGTTCATTTGTCATAACAGAAGCAGGCGTGCCAATCAATCCATGCGACAATGTAACAATCAACCAACCAATCAATCCATCAACCAATCAATCAAAATTTATCAATCAATCAACCAATCAAACAAAATCAATCAACCAACCAAACAAAATCAATCAACCTATCAATTAACCAACCAATCAACCAACCAATGAATCTCCCAGGTTTGCAATCCACAAATTAGCCAATTCAACCTGTTAACTGGGCAATCAATCAAACTCAAACCCATCAATCGGCCAATCAATCAACTTATCAATCTACAACAATCCACCAACCACCAATCGTTCACTCATTTATATATGCATGGCAGTTAGTCAATCGAGTTCTTTTGTGTTGTGCGTAAGTGAAATAGGCACATAATAAATCGAAATCGAATCATTAATAAAAGAATGAAAGAGTGAACAAGAACTGAACGAATAACGTTTGAAATTTTATTTTCATAATAACAAATTAATGACTGAATGACTGACTGACTGAATGAATGAATGAATGAATGAATGAATGAATGAATGAATGAATGAATAAATGAACATGCTCACCGAATGAATGAATAAATAAACAAACGAACAACAAACGAATGAACAAATAGTGAACGAATGAAAAGAAAATGACTGAATGAATGAATGAAATCAAAACGGAAGAATAAACAAACGTATGATCAAACAAACGAATAAATGAACGAACGAACAAACGAACGAATGAAGGCTAGAAGAAGACTAACCAACTCACTCATTGAAAGAATAAAAAAATGATTGATGGATGGCTGATGTAAGCAACAGCAGAACCCATAATAATAACACACAAACACACAGCACACATTTACACACATGTATGTGTGTGTATGTGTGTGTGTGTGTGTGTTGGCACATGGATCTTTGGACTTATTATGTATACGGTACAATTTTATTATACCTGCCATCATTTATTTAACACTAAATACGCAAATAACGGTACAAAAAGACAAACACACAGAACAGCCACATATAGAAATAGACACATAAAGTGACTTTCACAACTACACACACACTCTTTCTCTCTTTCTCTCTCTCTCTCTCACACACACACACACACACACACACACACACACACACACACACACACACGTACGTTCACTCACTCAACTCACACACCACACACACATACACTCAACTCACACACACACACACATATAAACACACACAAACACAAACATTCACCCGCACACACACACCGCACACACACACACAAACGTTCACTCACACACACACACTCAACTCACACACACGCGTTCACTCACTTACATACACACACAAACAAACACACAAACATACAAACACAGTCTACATAAATAATGTGCACGCGCGGTTGTTTTGGGGTTGTGTTTATTTTAAACTAATTGGTAAAGTCCCCCAGTGGCTTGTTTACATTTGCTCAGCTTAACTTAAGCACGTTCTACCTCGTAACGTTTCGTACATCTGGCGTTTGTCATTCATAAGAAATATGATGGTTGCCGGGTTACCATATAGTAGAATTATTATTACTATTATAATACTGATTACTACTACCCCTCATTACTGAATAGTAGTAGTATTGTTTACTGCCGGTTTGTATGTTGCATGAGTTTGTTCAGTCGCTTGTTCATTTTTTCTTATGCAATATGTACTAATCCACACTAGTAGTATTCCTACTGTCAATCAAGGTAATAATGAAATAATATTAAAAGGAAGAAATAGAAGAAAATAAGTAAAATAATAAAATATAATACATCCTTTTGTTCTTAGTTCTTAAAATCCTTTGATCAACTTACATATCAAAGAAATGAAAGAGTGAAAGTTTAAAAAAAATTGAAAAAAAATTCTCAACACTGCCGTCAGTGGGTGGTAGGTAGAAAAAAAAGTTGATCGAAGATAGGAACGTAAAGAAGATAATTGTTTTAAAAAACGCTGCTCCACTGTTAAATAAATTTTTATTACTTCATTTTTACAACAAAGCTACAACCATTACTGAATTTCTTACTGTGCATGATAGTATTTACTCTCTCCCTTTCTTTCCTTTCTCTCTCACTCCTTTTCTTCTTCTCTCTCACTCACCCTATGCACTTTCCCATTTTTACATTTTACTTTAGTTTCAAAGATAGAGAGGATTTCGAATGCTGACTAATGTATTTTTAAAAACATGCCTGAGATTAGCAAGATAAAATTGGAGAGAGTAAGAGAAAGAGATCAAGATGATGAAGAATAAGCAAAACTTCAAAAGACGAAAAGATAAAAAAATAAAATAAACACAAAAATATGTGAAAATTTGAATGAAAAAACTGAAATGAATGAATAAAGAAAATTGATGAATGAAAGAAGGAGCGATAAATAACAGAAACCGGAACAACAAATGAACTGTCAAACATACATTAAAACGAATATAATGACTTTGACGATGTTGGATGGTTTCATCTAAGAAAAGCAAATGAAGCCAGAGAGCAAAGAAATAATAGAACAATTAGCAGAATGATTTACTGAAATAATTAAAGAACAAATGATGTATATAATGAGTGTACAGACGACAAAATAAACAAACGAATGATTAAACGAACGAACGAACGAATGAATGACAAAAAAATATTATAATATTTTTAAAATTATTATTTAAATTATTATTGACGTAAGAGTGCGCAAATAATTATCATCATCATCGTAATTACTATCTTATCGTCATCATCTTTATCACCATTAAGAACGACACATCAACAGGATAAAACGATGAACAACCTGAGATGAACTGTTTCTTGGATGTTTCATTTTTGTCGTGGAGATGGCTCGTTTGTTGATGTTGTTGATGTTGTTGATGTTGTAGCTGTTGTTGCTGATGTTGCTGAACAGTTGAAACCTGATTCGTTAGATTAATTGTTTGTGTTGTGATTTTCAAGGAAGATGAAGATGACGACAAAGATGACGACGACGAAGGATATGGTGTAAATGATGATGATGAAGACGGAAAAAGAAACGACGATGATTGTGTTGGTGATAACAACGATGATGATGATATGATTAAATGTTTGCAATTGTCATTTTCAATGATTGATGATGATGAACATGTTGAAGCCTGGTCTCGGTTAGTATTGTTGTACAAATTACTGTCTGCAGTCACTTTTGCTGTTGCAGTTTTATTTTTGGTAGTAAGAGTAGTAACAGTGGTAGCAGTAGTTGTAGTGGCAGCAGTTGCAGCAGTCGCAACAGCAGTAGATGCGGCAGTTGTTGAATTATTAGAATGAATCAGATCCGGTGTAGAAATGGCTAACAATAATTTTGATGTTGTTGTTGTTTTGGTGACAGATGTTGTTGGCGTTGGTGTTGCAACGGGAAGAAAAATTGTGGTCGACAATGTTGTTGACCTTCTGTCGGAAACTATTGTTGTTGTTGTTGTTGTTGTTGTTGTTGATTTATGAATAGATGTTGTTGCGTCAGTTGGAAGTTTAAAACTGCATCTTCTTTTCACGTTTTCCATACCTTCAGCCACGCATCGCCTCTTCAACTGCTTCCTGTTCATATCTTCTCCACCTACGCACTTTTCGTAATTATTTTCGTCCAGTTTTTTAAAATCGTCATCATTATTATTGATCTCATCATTGATATAATTATTACCGTTATTATTATTATTGCTGTTATTATTGATCAACAGACGCCTGCATCTTAGATCTCGAGCATTTGCCATATTGAGATGCAATCGCTTCTCAATGGTCCACTCGAATTTCGTTCCGCCAATCAGAGGACGGTCATTCTCAAAGTCGTAATCGTATTGGTCAGTTTTTTGGCGCACAGTTTCCGCCATCTTGGCCGCCATTTTTTGATGTTCCAGCATCACGTCCAGTTCAGATGGCTGGCCGAACAGATTTCGGCACGTGGCTCTTCTAATCGGACGATTCATCTGAGGAACATGATGATGATGATGATGATGATGATGATGATATTGTGATGATGATGATTATCATATGATGATGAAGCGGTTGTGTTGCTGCCGGATGATTAACATGATATAAATGTCATGACGGTGACGATGGTAACGATGATGATGATGATGGTGCAAGCAGAGATGATGACGTCGATATAATAATAAAATATCAGTTTTGAATTAAAAATATTCGCAGGAACAAAATGTTTTCATGATAAGATTTCATCATCAACCTCACCATCCGAGTTATCAACATCACGTCATCAGAACCCCCATCATCATGTAAGTTATCACCATCACGTTCTCACCATCTTATGAATCATCATATACACCATTCAGGCATCTTCATTTCTAACAACTGTATAACTAACAACTGATTAATTTTTACCGTAATCATTACCGTCATTATTCACTTTAATTTCATCATCAACACAATCATTACCCTCACTTACCGAAATCATCATCACCCTAATATTTGTCATCATCGTCGTCGTCGTCATCATCTTCCTTAATTAATTCATCACAATCATCATCATCCTCATCATCATCATCGTACAGACCTAGCAGCGACTAATGATTCGTATAATCAATCTTCCAATATGGGTCAAATTATAAATTTGCATAGAAAGAATACGCAGGACGCACGCGCGCTCAAAAACACACGCACACACACACGCATTCAGGCACAAATGCCCCAAATACAAACACACACACACACACACACACATACATACAAACGTATATACAAATACACACATCCAGACATGCAAAAACAAACAATATATATATATATACATATATATATATATATATATATATATACAACAATATATATATATATACATACATACACAACAATATATATATATATATACACAATATTTTAATGTACAAATATATTTATACATATATGTGTGTGTACAACACACATAACACAATATTTACACCATTGCCAGGGCTTAATGATGGAAATAATGAAAACTGACCAAGTGATTGCTAATGAAGTCGTTTGTAGTCCAATTCGAGTGCATCGTGTCTGTTTGATTTGTGTTGCACTCTTGCGTGCACGTGTGTGTATGTGCGTGCATGATTTGTGTATGTTCGTCTGTTTGATTTGTGCCGATGTATTTGTGTGTTTATCATAGTTATAGATACTTTGGACCAACACAATGATCTAGAATTCTACGAAAAGTGTGCGTGCGTGTGTGTGTGTGGTACATACACATGTGTTTTGTTAATTCAAGTGATTGTGGGTGTGCGTGTTTATAATTTGGTGTAAGTGTGTAATGTGAATGAAACATTTTTAAAAGCTAATCTAAAATGGTAGCACATTTTATATGCGTTATTCGTCAAGATGGATGCATGGATGCATGCACATGTGTGCTTGCGTGGGTTGCTTGCTTGTTATGTTAAAAATATTTTTACAGATTTCTAACATAGATTTCGAACGCTCAAATAGTCATGGTTTTGTTTAAAGTCACCGCAAATATTTGCTCTGAAGCTTATTTGCGCATGATTTTTTGGCGTTCGTTAACTTTATAAACCTACATAAACACACATATAAGCTCATACCCGTGTAGAAACATGAATGCACACATGTGTTTATAAATAATCCATTCATTTTATTTTCTTTTAGATTAGTGTATGACCTTGCTGATTCAAATAATATTTATACAAATTTCATGTCAATTCAACGAGCACCTATACAATTGAATTAAATTTTATTTAATAAATGCAAATATTCAACGAAATTTATAATTTATTTAAAAAAAATGTCCATTAATTTATACGAATTACGTATTCCTGTATACAAATTATGTATTCATTGGAACATGGAGCGCTTGCATTCCAAACGATGACATGTGACCCGGGAGATGTGATGCCAGGCAAAGTGGATTTTAAAATTTAAATTGTCAGCTATACTAACACACACACACACATGCACATACACACACACATACACAAACACAACCACACATTGTCCACCAGTCCAATTCATTGTCAGCTTAGATTACTACCTTCATAGACCAGTTATACATCTGTCATCATAATACAAACTTATATATAATGCACTGGACCTACATGCATTAACACATACACGCACATACAAATAAACACGCTACACGCACACTACATGCAAACAAACATAAAGATACACACACCAGTAAACTGTGAACTGAATACAAACTTTCCCGCTGAGCAATACTTGTGGATTAAAAAATACATAATTTGTAGAACCGTTATTTTACCCATTTCAAAACCATTATCTCAAAATAAGCAAACGATCTATTTATTGATTAGAAAACCCATAAAAAAGAAACATCCATACGTACATGCAAACACATACAAACAACTCCATAACGACGCATAGAGCGCATGCAAGATACTAACATTTCATTTACTACACAATACACGCATACAAAAGCACACACGCATACATACAGATAAGCACACGCATTGTCACAAACACATGTGCGTGCTTGGTTAAGTAAGTATTTGCATTGCTAAGTGAATTAACTCTCAATTTCCAGTTATTATGTCACACAATATGTTAAACTGTCTAACGCATCATTGCCTTCTAATCATTACTACCATCATCAACATCATCATCGTCATCTTCTTCATCATCACAGATTTCATATCATATCATCATACTAGCCATCATCATCCTTTTAACATCATCGTCGTCGTCGTCTTTATTATCTTGACAACCTTTTCATCATTATGTTTACATCTCGTTAGTTAATTTTAAATTAACAATTTAGTTTTTACAGTTAGCTACCATAGAAAAATAATTTCGATACAAAAAATAATAAAATAATATAAAAAACATTATTATGAATGATTATTAGGAAAATAATAACAAAAAATACAGAAAAAAACAATAATAATAAGCTTCCTTACTTTTTAATTTATTAATCCTTTCTTTCAAAGTACACAAATTATCCAATGGAAAATAAATTTTTTAATTATACTAATATTCTTGTCTGATTATTATTATTATTACTGTTTTATTATTATTAAAATTATTACTATTATTATAATTACTACTGTTTTTATTTATTTTAATTTAATTCGATCTTCCAAATTTTTAAACTTCTTTTCAAACCTGAATAAAGTTAAATTCCACATAAAAAAAACTTATTTATATATTGATATATAAATTAAGGAATAAAACAAATTATTCATTAACTATTATATTGATTAATAATTTTATTTTCCTGGCTTATATATATTTCTTTTTATAAATATTTTTAATTATTATATTATTAATTATATTTAATTATATTTATAATAATTTTATTTTCCTGGCTTATATATATTTCTTTTATTTATTTATTTAAAAAATAAATATTAAAAAACTTTAATGTATTTTGTTATTCATAACGTACGAAACATGTACCACATATGTCATACAATATACTATAATAAACTTGACTAAACTAAATAATACTAAACTAAAAAATACTAATATAAAAATTAACGTTAATCGGTTAATTGATTAATTAACTATTCTGAAGTAATTAATTAAATAACCAACCGATGAAAAACGCATATGAGTAAAAAACAAATGAATTTGAGAATGAATTAAAAAAACAATGAATTATTTTCATATAGAATTAATTTATCAATAATAATAATTATTATTATTATTGAATAATTTAATTTAACACCAGTGCATACAAAATTCCATTTTAATCAATTATTCAATATCAAAAAGATGGAAACAAATAGCAAACTAAAAAAACGTACGTACACTCAAACTCCAAAAAAATCCAACGACAAATGCACGCCAGCAAGTAAAATTATTAACTAAATAACATCAATACCCAATGTTACATTTACAATATCATTACATGTATGTATGTATGTATGTATGTATAAACAATATTGTATATATATATCTATTCTATCTCACATTGATAAATAAATACATATATATATATATATATATATATATATATCTTCTATGTATTTATATAAATTGTTGAGTAAAAATAGTGAAATGTCAACAGACCGTGCGACAAATAATCTCCAGATGCATCAAATAAGTTTACAGTATACACATATAAATTGGTATTATGTATGTATGTATGTATGTATACATTTATGTACGTAAGCATGTATAGATATAGAATGCTGATCGTACTGTAAATCTACACACACAAACACACACACACACACACACACACACACATATATATATATATATATATATATATGTATATAATATATTTAAATACTTATACATATCTATATATACACATATAATAATCATTTGCACGTATATCATAACCTATTATAATTCGTTCATGTGTGCATTTAATGAAGTTAGTAGATATATATATATATATATATATAT